CTTAGCGTCTCTGCAGCACGGGGACCCCTCCTCTGTTCCACATTGGACCCTGACCAGCTGCTCGCTGGATGGATCCCAGGAAGTCCTCTCCTGAGCTCCCGCCCAGCACCTCTTCCCTGGCCTTTCTTGTTTTTCTGCCTTCCCATTCCAGCCAGATCAGCATTCTTACCACAGGCAAGCCCGAGGTTAATTCCTGCAGCTTTGCCCGTACGCTGAATTAGCTATCATATAAATCTGAGTTGAGCTGAGGCTCCTCCAGTCTACGGCCTTTGGCGTGGCAGCCCCAGCCTCCCCTTCTCAGCAGAAAGCAGTGTGGGCGATGACCCATCTGTTGCAGGGCGCTGTGCAGATGGGTGGTGTCTGAAAAGCCTGCCCACATTACCCTTTCTCGGTGCTGAAGCCCATCCACGGTGGCAGTGCCTCGCTGCCCCAGGCCCTTTCTCATTTCCCTATGGTTCTGAACCTTTCGCAGTCATTCTGATAATTTTTATTTTGATCTTGTTGAGCTATGGACTCCAAAAGTAAGTCAAAGCCTCCTGGAGCCTACGCCCCTCAGCCTGACCCGGTGTCCAGCTGTACTCTCTTGGCCTCGGCCTGAGGCAGGAGACGCAGGAGCTGGGTTCCCAGCAGCCGTGTGGTCTTCGAGCCAGTGGGACCTGGCTGTGCACCTCCCCATGAATCAGTGGGTCAGACCTCCAAGTACAGGCACACATCCTCTGACGGGGCAGGTTGTTTAAAATAAACACCTTAGCTGGGCGTGGTGGTGCATGCCTGTAATCCCAGCACTAGGGAGGCTGAGGCAGGAGGATCATTGGGCATTCGAGACCAGCCTGGGCTACAAAGTGAGCTCAAGGCCAGCCTGAATTGCATAGCGAGACCCTGTCTCAGAAAGACAAAAATAAATAAACAAACACCTTAAAGGAGTAAATACCTTTAAATCGCTAAAAAGGTTTCAGTTACGTACTGATTAGATTGCTGTAAAAGTTTTGGTTTGTTTTTACAGGACTGTATGGTTAAAAACTAAAGCAGAGCATGGGGGTTGGTGTTGGAGATCTGAAAATTGTAAACATGGAAACCTTAGTGGTGGAAAAAGCCAAAAAAAAAAGCAAGGTATCAAATGGGCTGGAGGTAGCTCAGTAGTAGAGCGCTTGCCTACATATTCACGGCCCTGGGTTCAGTACCCGGTACCAAGGGGAGAAAAGTGATCAGGTAATTTTTTTTTCCTTTATATAAGACTGCTTTTTTGCCCTAGAATTCCTGCTTAAGTGAGAGGTGAAAATGTTTCCTCTGTAACTACATTTTTATTTTAATTTAAAACGAGTTGCATTGGGATTCTCTTGGGTCACCAAGTGTGCAGAACTTGATTCCTTGTACTTTTGTTTTCTGTGTGAATTTTGCAAACTGATTCTCCCCCTTGTCCTCTTACAGAGCCCGCCTTTGAAGATCTTAGCAGATCTAGAGGGTGATGGTTTGGGTTTTTGGAGCAACAATATAAAAGTAACCCATGCTTGCCAACACTAGAAAGGGGTCTAATTAAAATTCTCGTTCTTTGTCTCAATTGCATTCCTCTTCTGTCACCATTAGTGATTCATTGTATTAATTTCCAAACCAAGAGACTTCGGGAGGGTGCTAGATGGGAGACATTGTAGCCACATGTTCTGTGCTAAAATCCAACCCCTTGGGCTTCTTTCTTGAGCTTTAACCCTGCATCCCAGCCACCCTTGTCATTAGAGGCTGTCTTGGGTAGCTGCTGGGACCCTGCTCTTCCCAGAGGCGAGGAGCTGCCTATGTGGTTATCCCTATGTGGTTATCACCACAGTAGCAAGAGTGACTTCTGCAGGCAGAGGCAGCGGTGACCAGGGGTGGGGACTTTCCCATCTAGCTGCCTTCGTTTTGTTTTTTTTTTTTTAATTTTTTTTTAATTTTTTTTTTATTTTAAAGAGTAAAGTAAGGATAACATAATAATAGGTGGAACTTACCAAATTACAGACAAAATGGTAGGAAATTATCAATGGTTATCATTTTACATATTGTTACCTACAAAATAGTTTCTCAGGAAAACAAATAGACAAATAATAGTGAGTTAGAGACAAAAGAGGTAGGAGATTATCAGTAGTTGTTGTACTATACTTTGGTATCTTCAAAATGGCTTCTAAAGAAAATAAACAGAGCTATACATGAGTGACCTATTGAAAAATCATTAACTCTTCTCAATGGTTGTTGTAGGAAACACATAATAATAAACATACATCCATTTATGAAATAGGATAGGAACATTACAAACTTTACACAGTTATGGATAGATTAGTAGGAAAATATCAATGGCTGCTGTAATACATGGTGGGATCTTCAAAGTGGTTTCTCAGGAAGACAGAGATATGCAAGAAGGATCTAACAAGTAGTTACAGCCTAAGGGTTGTCAAAAATAGCATATTACCTCCTCACCAGTGACTCCTTTCACTGAGGTATGATGGCTGGAAGGAAGGCCAGGATTGAAAAGAAGGACCGAGAGACTTGCACCTATGTCTAGCAACAGGCTGTTTTCTTGTTCCTCCATGGTCATGATTACCCAGGACTCCTCGATGGAGATGACGGTCTGACCAGAGGGAGAAGGCAGAGTATGCCCCAAGCCCTCTCATTCCTGTTGGACTAACTGGTAGCATGGGTCTGAGCTCTGGGGCCTCCACCTCAGAGGGCAGACCGATCTCCAGTGGTCTCCTTTGCATTCAGGGCATGGCTCAGGGGGCTTCTTAGGGCCGTTCCTCTTGAGGTGGCCTGGCTTTTAACAGTGATAGCAGATGAATGCAGTTGTCGAGTTCTTCTTGGGGCCCCGGGAATCAGACTTGGGATCTGTTTCTCTTAGTGGTGCAGCAAAAGCAGCTGCTTTTTCTCAGTCTCTTTGTTTTCTCTCCTTGGCCTCCTCCTCATCATGGCTATAGAATACTGAGGAGGCAATTCTTACTAACATCTCAAGTGAGCTGTCTGGGGTGAAAGCCATTCTTTGTAGCTTTTTCTCTCTAGCTTCCCATTGCTTTGAGACCCCACAACCAGTTAGTGTCCTCTCCCCAACTGTCAGCACAGGCAGCAGGAATCTTGCTGCAGACCTCTTCAGAGCTCCACCACAGCCTGTACTGTCAGGAGAAGAATGGCTTCCAGAGAGTCTCCGCAGGTTTTGTGCAAGGTCCTCCTGGTTTACAGCTTCTGAACGGCTTTCATGAACCCAGTCCACAGGACCTCTGACTCCTCGGGCTTAGTCTGTATTCTCATGTCCTCCGAGTCCTTGTTCACCAGCTGCTCCTCCGCTGACTCTGGACCTTTCTGGTTGTCAATGGCAGGAGCAAGAGTGACCTGTTGTATGGCATGTATTCCCAGGGGTTTCTCCATGTTTGGATGATTCAGACACATCTGTGGGTGGGCATCTGCAGCTGGTGCATGGTGGGCCAATTGTGTCAATGTTTCCCTGTGTCATGGTAGTTCTCAATGAAGCAGCGGTGGCCAGCCTGAGGGCTGGCGTGCAACAGCGCTCACCGCCATGTGGCTTCCGGTGCACCAGAGGCCCTCCTCCCAGGTGCCTGTTAGGCTGGGGGCCGGCCCAAGGGCCAGCGCTCCCCACCCTGTGGCCTCCCGGGCACCGGGGGCCCTCCCTCCGGGAGCTACGAGGCAGGAAGCTAGCCAGCCGGAAGACCGGCACTCCCCACCCGTGGCTCCCTGTGTGCCGGAAGCCTTCCTTCCGGGGAACTACGAGGCCGGGAGTGAGCCGCCGGTCCGAAGACCGGCTGCCTTCGTTATTTAGCCTCCTGTTTTAAAGGAGGGCTAACATTAGCAGAGAAGCAGAACTTGATGCAGACACAGGCGATTCCGCACCAACAGCCGTACCTGTTCACCATTGCCATGGGGCCCGCCAGGTGCTGCCACACTGCTGCTTTCTTATCACCACTGCAAGGTTCAGGCAGGGGCGCTGGGGATTTAGCTCAGTGGCACAGCGCCTGCCCGGCAAGTGCAAGGTCATGAGTTCGAGTCCTCGTAACGGAAAAAAAAAACAAAAAGGTTCAGGTGGGTCCCGGGGACAATGCCCAAGGCTGAGCTGCTGCAAGCTGCACTCCATAACGTGGGTTTCCAGCTAGCAGTGTTCAGGCACTGAGTGTTTCAGGCATATTTCCACCATCCATCCTCTTGTCTGGGGGAGGGGGGGGCGGGGCGGTAACTGATACTTAGCATTTGGCCAGAATGGCTGTTTTGCCTACTTTGCCCCAAGCACTAGTTCTAAATACCCATTCATTCACTTCCTCTTCACAGCAGCTCTGTGAGGTGGATGCTCCTGTCATGGTCATTTTAGACCCAAGAAAACTAAGACTCAAATTAAAATAACTTGCCCAAGTCACACACCCAGAAAGTCTGACTCTGCAAGCATTTTCTCAGAAATGTTACTTTTTTGTTGTCATAGGGTCTCACTGTGTAATTTTGGCTGGCCTTAGACTCATTATGTAGCCCAGGCTCACAACGATCCTCAGCCTTCCCAGTGCTGGGATTACAAGCCGGCACCACCATGCCTGGCCAAAATGGTACCTTTGTTACCTTGACAGCTTTGTCGTGAAATGTTAGGCACCTGTCTTTTCCCTTGGCAACTAGGAAAGTTCTGCAAACTCTTGAAAAGGGCCCTGTGTTCTGATCCTAGTGCATTTAATTAAACTCATTGTCCTTCTGCCATGCGCACATCCTTTCCAGTCCAGGGAGCGGGGCCACCTCGGCTGTTTCCCGTCTGTGTGCAGCTCCCAGGAGCCTCTCCCTGCACCCATGTCCTTTTGCTTGTTTTGTTTTTTTGTCTTTTTGAGACAGGGTCTCCCTGTGCAGTTCAGGCTGGCCTTGAGCTCACTTTGTAACCCAGGCTGGTCTCAAACTTGCAACGATCCTCCCTGCTTCAGCCTCCCTGCTGGGATTACAGGTGTTCGCCATACACCATCACGCCTAGCCTGTCCTTTCGCTTGTGTTCTCCCCCGCAGAGTCAACGCATGCGTGGATGTGGTGCTCTCGGGTGTGAAGCTGCTGCAGGCGCTGGGCCTGACTCCCGGGAGTGGGCGAGACCATGCTGTCCTGCACTCGAGGAGTGACCTGGAAGAAGCCTTCGTCCACTTCATGGGGCAGGGAGCAGCCGCTGAGCGCTACTTCAGCGACGGGGACACCTTTCAGGACATTGCGCGTGTAGCGTCTGAGTTCCCCGGAGCCCAGGTGTGTCCGCCAGCAGCAGGGGATTGGGACGGGAGGGGGAAGGAGGCCTTGTCTGTCGTGCTGCAGGCAGTGTTTGCCTCACACTGCGCTGTGACTGCTGGAAAGGGAAGTCTGTGATGTTGCATCTTTTTTGTAAAACTGTCTGATGTCTTCTTAACTCTGCAGTTTCTAGCCAGTTCAATTCAGCCAGCATAATTAAGTGTATTTACTAAAACTTTGGTTTTGGTGAACTCGGGTTCACCCATTACATTCCCCTTTTGTGGTGCACGCCTGTCATCCCAGCGCTGGGGAGGCCGAGGTAAGAGGATCGCAGTGAGTTCGAGGCCAGACTGGATACATACAGTACCTGTCTCAGAAGCCTAAATGAGTTCCCCTTTCTTCATGTTGTCCAGGGAACTGTAGACTCCTAACCCATTGGACTTGCAGTGCTACTTTGTGATAACTTACAGTCACCTCAATGTGGCGAGTCCTCTGAATGGGAAAGGGCGGGGAGGGTGCTCGCCCTTTTCTGCAGGCCCCAGCAGGTTTCTGAGCAGGGACAGGATTGGCCTTGTGGGACGGCTGGTACTGTCTGCGGGCCGTCCTTGGCGGTAGGGAATGTTAAGCACTTCACCCTCTGCTAAGTGCACAGCCCCTTTCCCCAGCGGTGACATCTCCAGATGTTGCCCAGCATTTCCAGGTGGGGATGGGAAAAGGGAGGTGGGCAGATCGGCCCTGGTTGGAAATCTTGGGCTAGGTGGGTGACTCCTGCGCGCTTGCGCAGACAGCAGAAGCGGTGGAGGGCTGTGCAGACTCCCGCACACACCCGGGGGCCAGCTCAGCAGGTATTGGAGGGGAACCAGGATCTGCCCTTTGAGCAAGCTCCCCGGCTACTCTGCAGCGGCATCCTGCAGACCCCTGGAGTGTAGGACAGAGCCTGGAAGTGACAGAAGGGACATCAGCGGTCCCTAGCTCCCCTGCTGGACCTAAATACCCCAGAGCCTACATGGTCCAGGCGCGTGCTGGAGGCTCACATGGAGTAAGAGGCGGCGCTGGTGTCGGTCACCAGTTCAGGCTACGGAGGTCACTTGAGATTTGGCAGCCTGAAGAAGAGACGCAGAGCCGTGGACCGGGTGAAACATTTTTTATTCCCCTGCTTAGCTGCTCCCGTGGCCCCAGCTGCTGTGCACCGGCAGCGGTCCTTGGGCCCCAGCCGCCCATTCTCGCGGCGGTCGTGGGCCCTGAGTCCCTCCCAGCCCTGGTGGGTACTGTGTATACCAGAGTACTCAGTAGTGGCCGTGTGTCTGTACAGCCTTGGCTACATCAGGTGTTACACCGGCCCGCATCGACCTGGGTTACATCAGTTATGTACACTCAGAACAAGGAGGGGCGCGTGCACCGACATCTTGCTGGCTTGGACTTGATATGCACCAGAACCCGCACCCCGCGCCGGAGCCACAGTGCTGGGGAGGAACGCAGCCGCGGCTCTTCTGTGTCACCCCAGCGTGCTGCTGCCTCTCCTCCTCCTGCCGCTGCTGCTCCAGCGGCTACGTGTGCCCTCAGCCTTTTTGAGCTGACTTTTGGTTGGCTGGTTAAGCATCCCCACCTCAGTTTTTGTCCATCCCTAGCTATGTTTTTATTTTTAATTTAAATTTTGAGGCAGGGTTTCACTTTGTATTTCAGGCTGGCCTTGAACTTCCTATGTAGCGCAGGTTGGCCTCGAACTCACGGCAATCCTCCTGCCTCAGCCTCAACATGCTGGGATTATGGGTGTACGCTACCACCCCTGGCTAAGGGAGAATCTCCACAGTTGTAACATGATATGTCTCTGTGCAGAGTCTTTGTGATCGTGGTATTACTTTCCCTTCTCCTCTTAGATTTTCCCTTCTGTTTCATAATGAAATTAAAATTCCACAGAAACTTTGTCACTTTTCAGTGGTGTTCCAAGTCATTTCTTTTTTTTTTTTTTTTTTTTTTTTGAGGGTCTCGCTATGCAGTCCAGGCTGGCCTTGAGCTCACTTTGTAGCCCAGGCTGGTCTCGAACTTGCAGTGGTCCTCCTGCCTCAGCCTCCCGAGTGCTGGGATTACAAGCGTGCGCCACCACGCCTGGCTTCCAAGTCATTTCTTAACATTTGTAAAACCGAAAGTGTGTTACTATAGGACATACTACCAATACCACAGTCTGGTGCCTTTTCAGACTCCCTTAAGCTAGGGCAGGTGGCCTGATGAACGACAGTTAACGGCTATTACAGGAAAAATCTGGTATTCGTTTTGTAGGCCTCTTGATATTTCCCCCAAGAGCTTTTGGTAAATTTCTCTAGTCATCAAGAGTTAAATCATGTAATTAAGCCTGCCACATTAAAGGGCCAGATTTCAGCCTAGCTATCACAGAACACCGCACATTTATCTACGGAAAGATGTCCCTGTCCCCTGACCCCTGAAGGTCGTCTGCTCAAGCCTTGTGGGGAGGTCATAGCGTTGGCTGCCTGACCCGCCCCTGGGTAAGGACTAGGAGGCAGTGTTTGCCCAGGCAAAACTCCCCACTGGGCTTCTTACCTTATCGAATCACCAGTAACCCGGCTGCCTGCTGTAGGTTCCCGAGACACCGGCCCCAGCCCCAACAAAGAACAGACGCCAGGCTGGGGGCCTCTCTCCAGCGGAGCCATAGGGTGCTGAGAGCCGTTCCCTTTCCCTCCAAGGAAAGCCTTTGCATTTCCCAGCACATCAGCGTGCTTCCTCCTTTCTCCAAAGGTATAAGACAGCTCCAGTCCTGCCCCACCGAGCCAGTCACCTACCCAGGGGCTAAGAAGAGCTCAAGCAGAGGAGGGCTGGGTTAGGGGCTTGTTTTAGGGGCCAGAGGGGACCTGTCTTCCTGCCTGGGGAGGGTGCTGTAGGGGCTGAGTGGTCAGTGGGGACGGGGCATCCTGGTCTGGGCTGCAGGTGCAGAGAGCAGGAGGAGGGCTGGACAGATGTGGAGGCACCAGGAAACAGAAGTAGAAAGGAAACCTTGGGTCAGGCGAAGAAAGGCCTTGTGGTGCCTCTCTTTTAAGCCAGGTGCGGTGGCACACATCCGTAATCCCAGGAGGCTGAGGCAGGAGAATGGCCAAAAGTTGGAGGCCAACCTGGGATACATAGCAAGACCTTGTTTCAAAAAAGTTAAAAAAAAAAAAAAAGAGTTTTAGAGCTGGGATGTAGTTCAGGGGTAGAGCGTGTGCCTAGCATGTGCAAGGTTCAGTTCAGTTTGATCCGAAAAAAGAGGTTTTCTGTTGAATAGTTTTTCAGGAGAATGACCTACTTGTACACTCACTGCGGAAGCTGAGACCTAGCCCCAGCTTTCTTGTCTTCTGTACCCGTCTAGCTGCCGGGAAGCTCGGCCAGAGAAGGGATCCTAGTGATTTCCTAGTTCGCATATTTATTCTCTTCACCTTATGACTCACTGTTTGCTTCTGTGTCTTATTAATGCCTATGTCTTTTGTTGAAAGTCACCTCAAAGTGTTTGGGGGAAAATGGACTGCAACGTGAGAAATTATAAAGACTGGCTAATGAAGTTTTTGAAATTGTTGGCTAATAGCCTTGAACTATTTTACAGCACTATGTAGGAGGAAATGCAGCTTTAATTGGACAGAAATTTGCAGCCAACTCAGACTTGAAGGTAGGTTACATTTCCTGATTAAAATTTGCGCCTTTTGCTAATGCTTTTATAATTCTAGGAGCACAATTGAATATTTGTTTTTTGATTCAATTTCTGGATCACTTGCTGTATGGGCTTTTGTCAGGAAGCAGCCCAGGGTTAGTGGGAGGCGGTGGGAAGAGTACTTTGTGACCGTCCCCTGTGTGTGCGACCCTGACCAACCCTCGCAGCAGCCTGTTATGCCACTGGGCACTGTAGGTGGCGCTGTTGCTGTCCTGGCCTTCTGTGCAGGGACACTTAAGGCACAGAGAGGTTCACAGTCGAGGGGGTGAGGGACCAGGACTCCAGCCCAGCATGCGCGGACGAGCGTGAGCCTTGGGGTCGGCTCCCAGGCCTGAGCTGACAGCTGATGTGTTGGTGACCCTGGGTCCACAGGGTGAAGACCAGAGCCACCGAATGGGAAGAGGTAGAGCAGTGCCTTCAAATCCTAAGCCGTTTGTCTGAGTAGAATTAAAGCTGATCACTGTGTTCAGAATAAAAACTGAATAAGCCAGTGGCGGCAAACTTGTGGCAGGTGTGCTGCTGCGGGCGCACAAAGCCCTCTGTCGGCACACAGCCAACCTGCCCAGCAGCAGAGCATCGGGTAACAGTTTTTTTCTAAGCTAAAAGCTCAGTATTCAGGTTTAACTGCAGCACTGGAACTTTTGTGATAAGTAAGTGAGTTTGGGGTTGGAGTCTGCACACAGTCTCTAAAAGATTGGCCTGGGTGTGGTGGGGCACATCTGTAATCCCAGCAGTCAGGAGGCTGAGGCAGGAGGATCTCTGAGTTTGAGGCCACATAATTCAAGGTCAGCTGAGCTGTACAGCAAGACCCTGTCTCAAAAAAACAAAACAAAACAACAAAAAACCCCACTTTATGGGCCGGGCATGGAGGCACACGCCTATAATCCCAGCACTGGGGAGGCTGAGCCAGGAGGATCGCCAAGAGTTTGAAGCTAGCCTGGGCTACAGAATGAGTTCAAGGCCAGCCTGAACTGCATATCAAGATCCTGTCTCAAAGAAATAAAATAAAATAGTATAAAAGGTTCCCCCTTGCTAGAGTAAGCGTTCCTTTTGCTGTGAGCAGAGGAGGTCCGGGTTAGGGTTAGGGTTATTGCTGTTACGCTGTAAAGTGACTAAGGAGGGACTAGAGTGGCCGAAAGAGGAGGAACACGCCTCTGTAAATCCTGCTGCCATAGAGGGGAGTCGCGGGCTGGGCCGACCCGCATGGGAACCGAGATTGAACACAGGTGGTTCTGGGGTAAGTGAGCTGGAGGGGTGCAGGATGGCTGTGGCTGGTGACAACAGAGTAGGGAACCGTGACAGTGCTCGGATTTGGGGGACAGCAGAAAAATAGAAATTTTGGTCAGGAAGCCAAAGATGAGTTCAGCAATAACACTGATGATCCGTAGTTTCAGGGAGAAAATTCATACGGAGCCATTGTACACCGGGAATAAATTATTTCAGAGTATATCAAGGTGTGCAACTACATCTTAGTAAGAATTAAAGTTCTGGTGAAATACTAGTGTGTAAGATCAATTTTTGTAGTCATTGTCTTTATAGTAGTAATTAACTTCTACGTAATTTTTTTTTTTTTTCTACCAGGAATCGAACTCAGGACCTTGAGCTTGCCAGGCAGGCACTTGTACCACTGCACTATATGTCTGGCCCCGTAATTCTAAATAGAGAAAATTAGAAATGCAGGACTGGGGCTGGGGATTTAGCTCAGCAGCAAAGTGCCTGCCTGGCAAGCGCAAGGTCGTGTGTTCGATTCCTGGTACCAGAAGAAAAACAAAAGCAAACAAAGAAAAAAAAAAAAAGAAAGAAATGCAGGACTGACGTTTGGAAACTTCACCAGCAATAAGAAGAGATCAAGCATAACATCTTTAGAGAAAGCCCAGGCCCTCCCATCCGCATCTGGGAGTTTTCCTGGGTCCCTTAAAACCTCTCTCAGACCCTGAGCAGTAATTCTGACCTCTGTGGGGCGACTGGAAACTGTCATTGACCTCCTGACTGAGGCCAGTATTTGCACCTGGTCTCTGGAGAAGCTGGGGCTGGGACCCATCTGATTGCAGGACTTTTAGTAAAGTCTCCCTCAGTGGGTGAAAAGGTTTCTCTCGAAATCCTCACGACAGTCTAACAGCGCTAGGATTTTAAAGGTAGGAAAGAGATCCAGACGCTAACGTGCCCCATGCAGTAACATAGTAAATGACAGCAGGGATTCAGTGCCACCCTCAGCTGTAACCTTGGCACCCTACACCACTCTCAGAGATGAATTTTCTGAAACTCCTTCTGGTATGCACCAAGTGATCATCTGAGAGCCACCGGAGAGTGAAAAGGAGGTGTTTTCCAGCAGCAATACTAACAGGTAACACTTGTATAGCCCCGGCCACATACCAGGCTTTACATAGACAAGTGGGCAGGTGGGCAGATGCACGCATGCGTGGATGCTCGCTTAATCCTTACAGCACCCTTTTGTTATCCTCAGCTGAGACAGGAGACAACCAAAGGTAGAGACGTTAAAACTGCCAGGCGCGATGGCACACACCTGTAATCCCAGCACTTGGGAGGCTGATGCAGGAGGATCGTTGAGAGTTTGAGGCTGGCCTGGGCTACACAATGAGTTTAAGGCCAGCCTGAACTATACAGCAAAACCCTGTCTCAAAAAAAAGAGAAGTTAAAGTAAGTGCTCAAGGTCATACATCTACTGCCGAGGGGGGCTGGAATTGGTCCAGAGTAGCCAGGCTCCACAGTCTGTACCCTTAATAGCACAGCTGTAATGGATCTCAGAAACAGAATGGTGAATGCTGTGTAGGCAAATTGAGTAGAGTGGGGAGACAGAGGCCAGGAGAAAAGCAGTGCCTTCTAAAAAATTTCGAGGCCTGGGGCAGAGCTTGCCTAGCATGTGAAAGTATGTTTTAGATTTGATCCCAATACCAAGGGGGAAAGAAGGTGTACACGTGGGATTAGCCAAGATTTAAAAAGAAGAGTCATTGAATTTTGATGCTACTGTTAATTTTTTTTTTTTTTCCTTTTTGAGACAGGGTTTCACTATGCAGTTTAGGCTGGCCTTGAACTCTCAGTGATCCTCCTGCCTCAGCCTCCCTAGTGCTAGGATTATAGTCACATGCCACATGCCAAATGCCATTTTATCTGGTGGAGTGATTATATGTTTTTTTCAATTTGGTTTATGGTAATTGCATTGATTTTCTTTTTTCTTTTTTTTTTTTTTTTTTTTTTTTTTGTGGTACCAGGGATCGAACGCATGACCTCACGCTTGCTAGGCAGGCGCTGTGCCACTGAGCTATATTCCTGGCCCTGCATTGGTTTTCAGTGTTAAACCAACCTTGCATCTGGAATAAACTCAGTTGTTGTTTTCTTGGATTTTTTTTGTTTTTAGTGGGTTTTTTTGTTTTGATTTTTTTGGTTGGGTGTTTGTAGACAAGAGTTTTGCTATGTAGTATACCAGTTTCTATGAGGAATATTGATCTGTATTTTTTTTTGCAGTGTCTGTCAGATAAAATGAGTTGAAGTAGCTCTTCCTCTTCAATTTATTAAAAAGAATTTGTGTCGAGTTTGTATTATGCCTTCCTGGCTGTTGCAGAATTCCCCAATGAAGTCTTCTAGGTCTAGGCTTTTCAAAGTGGGAAGGTTTTCTACTGGCAAGTTTGATTTTCTCTGACAAAGAGAAATAAAAGTTTTAGTATCTTTAGTGAGCTTTGGTAGTTTGTATCTTTCAAAGAATCTGTCCATTTTACCTGAGTTGTCCAATTTATTGACATTAGTCATGATATTCTCTTACCCTTTGAAGATCTGTAGTCTACTATGATGGTATCTCTCTCATTCTTTTTCTTTTTCTCTTTTTTTTTTTTTTTTTTTTTTTTTTTTTT